GTTTGGGTCACCATGAGCACAGCACAAGACTAGTTGCTAGGTGGTATACAATTCATTGTCAATTTAGTGGCACTGTTCAGACCATAAGTAATTTATGTTTTAATGCATTTAAGAGTTTAAAGAGTGTAAAGAAGAAAGATCACTGTGGACTGAGGAACTGAGGACATTTTCAACAACAAAAGTTGAGACTGTAAGCTGGGAAATGAAGAATACATTTTTGATAAGCGGAAAACACAAAAAGACTATTTCAGAGAGTATAAATGTGGAACACTGCCAAGGCAGGAATGAACAAAGTTAGTGCTAATAAGGATAGGCAAGAACATAGGACCAAAAGGAGGGCTGGAGTCAGACTACTGAGAGCCCTTAACCTGCAGGGAATAGGCATGATTAAAGAGTTAGACCAAGAAATTGACTTCTTGATTGAGATATTTGGAGATGATTAAATCAATACCAGTTTGCCAAATTCTACATCAGGTTAAATACTGTTTGAAATTTTTTTCTAAATTGAGGTATAATTTACAATGTTGTGTTAGTTACAAGAGTACAGCAAAGTGATTCAGTTATAATATATATGTATTTTTTCAGATCTCTTTTCCATTATAGGTTATTATGAGATATTGAGTATACTTTCCCATGCTATACAATAGGTCCTTGTTGTTTATTTATTTTATGTATAGTAGTGTGTATATGTTAATCCCAAACTCCTAATTTATCTCTCTCCCCCAATCCCCTTTGGTAACCACAAATTGTTTTCTATGTCTGTGAGTCTATCTGTTTTGTAAGTTCATTTGTATCATTTTTTTAGATTCCACAAATAAGTGATATCATATAGTATTTGTCTTTCTCTGTCTGATATACTTCACTTAATATGATAATCTCTAGGTCCATCTATGCTGCAAATGACATTATTTCATTCTTTTTTATGGCTGAGTAATATTCCATACTCTGTGTGTGTGTGTGTGTGTGTGTGTGTGTGTGTGTGTGTACATATATATCTCACATCTTCTTTATCCATTCATCTGTCGATGGACATTTAGGTTGCTTCCATGTCTTGATGATTGTAAATAGTGCTGCTATAAACACTGGGGTGCATGTATCTTTTTGAATTAGAGTTTCCTCCAGACATACGCCCAGGAGTGGGATTGCAGGATCATATGGTAACTCTATATTTAGTTTTTTAAGGAACCTCCATACTGTTTTCCACAGTGGCTGCACCAATTTACATTTCCACCAACAATGTAGGAGAGTTTCCTTTTCTCCACACCTTTTCCAGCATTTATTGTTTGTGGACCTTTTAATGATGGCCATTCTGACTAGTGGGAGGTGATACATCACTGCGGGTTTTTTGTGGGTTTTTTTGATTGATTGATTTCTATTTTTGGCTGTGTTGGGTCTTTGTTGCTGCATGTGGGCTTCTCTCTAGTTGTGGCGAGCGGGCTTCTCATTGCGGTGGCTCCTCTTGTTGCAGAGCACGGGCTCTAGGCATGCGGGCCTCAGTAGTTGTGCCTCGATGACTCTAGGCATGCGGGCCTCAGTAGTTGTGCCTTGTAGCTCACGGGCTTAGTTGCTCCATGGCATGTGGGATCTTCCCGGACCAGGGCTCGAACCCGTGTCCCCTGCATTGGCAGGTGGATTCTCAACCACTGTGCCACCAGGGAAGCCCTATCACTGCAGTTTTGATTTGCATTTCTCTGATAATTAGCAATGTTAAACATCTTTTCATGTGCCTATTGTCCACCTGTATGGCTTCTTTGGAGAAATATCTGTTTAGGTCTTCTGCCCACTTTTTGATTGGGTTGTTTATTTTTTGTTATTGAGTTGTATGAGCTGTTTGTATATTTTGGAAATTAAGGTATTGTCAGTCACATCGTTTGCAAATATTTTCTCCCATTCTGTGGGTTTTCTTTTCATTTTGTTTATGGTTTCCTTTGCTGTGCAAAAGCTTTTAAGTTTCATTAGGTCCCATTTGTTTATTTTTATTTCCATTACTCTAGATAAAAATATTGCTGCAATTTATGTCAAAAAGTCTTCTGCCTATGTTTTCCTCTAAGAGTTTTATAATATCCGGTCTTATATTTAGGTCTTTAATCCATTTTGAGTTTATTTTTCTATACGGGTTAAAGAATGTTCGAATTTCATTCTTTTACATGTAGCTGTCCAATTTTCCCAGCACCACTTATTGAAGAGACTGTCTTTTCTCCATTGTATAGTTTTGCCTCCTTTGTTGTAGATTAATTGACCATAGGTGTGTGAGCTTATTTCTGGGCTTTCTATCCTGTTCCATTGATCTATATGTCTGTTTTTGTGCCAGTACCATACTGCTTTGTTTACTGTAGCTTTGTAGTATAGTCTGAAGTCAGGGAGCATGATTCCTCCAGCTCTGTTCTTCTTTCTCAAAATTGTTTTGGATATTTGGGGTCTTTTCTGTCTCCATACAAATTTTAAGGTTTTTTTGTTCTAGTTCTGTGACAACTGCCATTGGTAATTTGATAGGGATTGCACTGAACCTGTAGATTGCCTTGGGTAGTATGGTCAATTTAAGAATATTGATTCTTCCAATCTAAGAACACAGTATGTCTTTGACTACATGGAAAAAGTTTCTAATTCAATTCTACTCCAAGATGAACTGAAATTGAGTTGTTATATAATATCATTACACAGGTTTCTTTCTGAATATGAACAACATTCCTAACTGCCAAAATATAATACAAGGAATGTCACTTTTAAAAGATTTATTTTTCAGGGCTTCCCTGGTGGCGCAGTGGTTGAGAATCTGCCTGCCAATGCAGGGGACACGGGTTCGAGCCTTGGTCTGGGAAGATCCCACATGCTGCGGGGCAACTAGGCCTGTGAGCCACAACTACTGAGCCTGCGCGTCTGGAGCCTGTGCTCCGCAACAAGAGAGGCCGCGATAGTGAGAGGCCCGCGCACCGCGATGAAGAGTGGCCCCCACTTGCCATAACTAGAGATAGCCCTCGCACAGAAACGAAGACCCAACACAGCCAAAAATAAATTAAATAAATAAATAAATATTTTTTTAAAAAAAGATTTATTTTTCAGCTCGGTGCTTTGTGATGACCTAGACGGGTAGGATAGGGAGGAAGGGAGGGAGGCTCTAGAGGGAGGGGATATGGGGACATATGTATGCATATGGATGATTCACTTTCTTGTACAACAGAAACTAACACAGTACTGTGAAGCAATTATACTCCAATAAAGATCTATTAAAAATAATAATAATAAATAACAAAAATATTTTAAAAATAAAAAGATTTATTTTGATCCATTTCTGTAAGTTTCTCCAGCATAAATACCTTGCCATTTAATATGACTACTTCTGTACAAGGTAGCCACTTGTTTCCATAATTAATAATCTTCAGGATCTACATTCAAAAGACAATGACCTGCTGGTCTCCAATCCTCCAGGTTCAAAAGGAGAAATATGACTAATGTAACATTGAAGAGAAAGAATTTAGCTAGCTAACAGAATTTCTAGAAAATGAAAGCTTCCTGATATGAGAACAAATGAAAACAGCAGCAGCTCCTTCTCTAAAGTTTAAATTCAATTAAATAGGAATTTCTGGTTCAATAATGCTCCTGCCTGAAGAATCTTTCATAAGGGCTAGTTCTGTAATACAGTGTGGCAGCAGAGATTTAAACTGTCCAATAGACATTGCAAAACCCAACCTCTCTCAAATCCTGCTACTCAACAGCAGGGATCTAAAGGAAAAAATAGATTCCCAGCTGCTGAGAGAAAATGTCTTACTAAAATCAAAGCAAAATTCTCATTAATGAAAAATCAACCATGAAAGAAGAAAATTTCTGTGTGTCTCATAATCCCTGGAAAGAGCCAAATCCATTCTGGGTTAAAGCAGATTTAACAACAGCGGAAGAGAAGAGAGGAAATCAGTTCCATTTGCCAGAAGCTGGGGGAAACGCTTAACAGAGATCACAACAATGCTTCTAATCCATAGAGCCAAAAGAAACATGAACTCTATCCAGTAAAAGGTGCCAGGAAAAGGTTCCTGTGGATAAATTCTCTCACTCACAACGAAGCCACCTTATTCCACCTAGCTCAACACAGATGTGATAGGCTGTAACTTGAATTTCCCAAGATCAAATTCAATGGGTAATCCAAACCCTGCTTTTTCTGATCAGATAATCTCTAAAATCACAGTCCCTGCATTCATTCAAAATCAGCATTGAGCTTCTACCACGTCAGGCACCCGGAATACAAAAACCATTAAGAAACAGTCTCTACCCTCATGGAGCTTAGTCCATGCACCTTGCCTCATCTTAAATCCCAAAGCTCTTGCCTTAAATATTTTCTTAGGTGGGTCAGTGGAAAGGCAATAAAGGACTTCACCTTTAGTTACTGTGATAGAAGTAAATAGATAAATCATACTTCTTATGCTCTGCTCCAAAAGGAGAGAAGCCGACACACCTTTCCAAGTCGAATATGAGCACATTCTTAGCCTAGAACCCACAGAAGGAGCAGGGGACAAAGACAAGCAATAAAGGGGTGCAAGCCAAGAAATACGCTGAAAGAAGGGATGTGACAGGTGTACCACTACACGTTCAAAGCGTGATTAAAAAGAACCTGCTACTAAGCCGACTGAGGTTTTACCGTGCAGGGAGGAGGAAGAAAAGAATAGGGGGCTGCCCGCTATGAACAGACACCAACTATCCGCGGTCCCTAGCTCGTTCACTCTCGCTAGAGGAGAGCGCCAGACACTGTTTAATAGGATCTGGGCCTGCCAGCCAACAACACTGTCACATGGACACCGGAACGGAGAGCTAACAGTCCCTCATAGGAGCGCGAGGAAAAACAAGAGAGAATGGAAAGAACTCTTTAAATGTTCAAAAATGAGTTAACATAATGGTTCCCCGAGGCACGGATGGGACGTAAAGTTTGGAAAAGGTGGTAACCCGACGCCCACTGGAAGCCCGTGGAGACCCCAGGGAGACGTCCGCCCTTGCACCCCAGTCCGCGCACTCACCGCGCACACAGAGCAGCGACATGGCCGAGGCGCCGGCGAGCCTCCGCCGCGCCCCAGCCCCGCAGCTGCGCCGGGCCGCTCCCTCTTTCCTCTCAGCAGGTGCAGCAGCTGTTCCCGCTATCGACCCCACGGGTCTCGCCGCTCCTCATGGTCTCCTTCGCAGGCAGCCTCCCGCCGCTCCCTCGGACCCGCTCCAATTTTCACCGTCTGAGCGGGCTCCCGATAGTGGTGAGTACCGGCCGGCAGGCGGGAGACTGGGCGCGGCACCGCGGCGCCATCGCTGAGAGGAAAGAGCGACCGGGACACCCTCCCCTCACTCCAGCCGGGATCCGGGAGAGCGCCGGGACAGAGCCAACCCGTTGCGCCCCGCCTCCCAGCCAATCAACTCACGCCCAGTCCGCCGACCCCGCCCCCTCACGGGCACGTAGGAGGTGGGGTCCCCTTCCGCTTTTCTTAGTGAAAGAATGAAGGCGGCTCCGCACACTTACTAGGCTTGCTGCAGAGAGGGGCGGGCTTCCCCCTCACCTGCGTGGGGCGGGAATTGAAGCCTTCTGCCCCTCTCACGTGGGCGGGGCTTCCACCCAAGAACAGATTCTTTTCATTGAGAATATCTATCGGACTTCCTTCTGAGTCTATCCCTTGCAGCTTACTGTAACAATTTAAAAAGATCGTACCACACTTTGCTGTACACCTGAAACTAACATAATATTGTAAATCAACTATACTTCAATTTTAAAAAATGGACTTTAACAAGAAAGAAAAGCTTTTGTAACTTTGTATGGTGATGGATGGTAACTACACTTATTGTGGTGATCAGTTTGCAGTGTATACAAATATCAAATCATTATGTTGTACACCTGAAACTAATATAATGTTATATGTCAACTATACCTCAATAAAGAAGGGGGCTACTGTGCTTCCCTAGTGGCGCAGTGGTTAAGGATCCGCCTGCTAATGCAGGGGACACGGGTTCGAGTCCTGATCCGGGAAGATCACACATGCTGCGGAGCAACTAAGCCCGTGCACCGCAACTACTGAGCCTGCACTCTAGACACCCGGAGCCACAACTACGGAGCCCACGTGCCACAGCTACTGAAGGCTGCACACCTAGAGCCCACGCACCACAAGGAAGAGTAGCCCCAGCTCTCTGCAGCTAGAGAAAGCCCGCGTGCAGCAACGAAGACCCAAAGCAGCCAAAAAAAATAATAATAAATAAATAAATAATTTTAGAAGAATGGGCTATAGTTAATTTTTAAATAATAATAATAAACTTTAAACAAATGTCTCACCCTCCTTAAAAAAAAAAGAAGACGACAGCCTAAAGGAAGATGTCTGGAGACCTCAGTTCTCATCTAGACCTGTTTTCATGGTCTCCATTGTATTTCCAATGTCTGTATATAGTATATAGTGCCTAGTGTATAGTAATCAGTCCGTAAATGTTGTTTTTTTGGTTTGTTTGTTTGTTTGTTTTTGCGGTACGCAGGCCTCTCACTGCTGTGGCCTCTCCCATTGCGGAGCACAGGCTCCGGATGCACAGGCTCAGCGGCCATGGCTCACGGGCCCAGCCACTCTGCGGCATGTGGGATCCTCCCGGACCAGGGCACGAACCCGTGTCCCCTGAATCGGCAGGCGGACTCTCAACCACTGCACCACCAGGGAAGCCCCGTAAATGTTTATTTAATGAAGGATGGAGAGAAGATAGTCATTTTAAACTGAGGACTTCTGGCAGGATGATGTACATACATGCGAGGAAGTGAAAAAGACCAGAGCAGAAAACAGGAATGCACATAATATCATGTACAGATCCAACATCTCATCCACCCCAAATTTTGGATTTAATTGGTTTGTGGTAGAGCTCAGGCATCCTACCTTTTAAAAGCTCCCCAGATTATTCTGTGATGCCGGAGTTGAGCACCATTAGACTGGGTACTTTCTAAGTCCACATTAGATCAGCTCAAGTTTCCGTGTTTGTAAGCCCTTGGCCCAGTTGGATTCTGCCTGTCAGACCCAGGGAGGGTCTATATTAATGTAACACCGTCTTTGCCCTCCAAAAACAAGCCTAGTTAGCATATGACTCCTCTCACTGGAATATAGCATTTGGCGAGAGTGACACTCCAAATGATATAAGTAGGAACCTGGAGAAGGAAAGAAGACTTGGCCTATGCAGTGTTTGTCCAAATTTGGAGAAATACCCTGAGAAAGATTTTGAGCAGGGCAGCTGAGCCAGGCTAGTTAACAAAGATGCCTGACCCTAAAAACATTGGGCATTCTCTGGGCTGCTGGAGGTTGAAATATCTAGCTATTTAGCCCAGCTGTCCTAACCTCAAGAGCAAGGGACTAAAAAGGTGTTAAACTTCTGCATTCTGGAACTAAGAATGGAGACAACAAAAAACAAACCTCTTATGGAACCAGGGATTCTCCTAGGGGATGCAGAGGCCATCCAAGAAAGGATGGAAAGTCAACCTCACTTGGAAACAGTATAGAGTAGTGGGAAACAACCTAATAAAATTGTGAAGAGCGTGAACTTTGAAACCAATCAGATTCACCTGGTATATTACCTATTGTCATATAACAAATTACCCAAAACTTTAGTGCTTTGAAACAACATTTATTATCTCACAGTTTCTGAACAACAAGGTCCTACTGTATAGCACGGAGAACTATATTCAATAACCTATGATAAACCCTAATGGAAAAGAATATTTTAAAAAAGAATGTATATGTATGTATAACTGAATCACTTTGCTGTACAACAGTCATTAACACAACACTGTAAATCAATTATAGTTCAATAAAAAAATGTTTAATTAAAAACAATTTTAGTACTCTTTTTTTTTTTTTTTTTTTAGTGCTCTTGATATATATACCATGTTGACTTCAAAAAGTCTATACAAGCATGTTTCCCATCAGCAACCTGGGAGTGATATACTGATATGTACTGTGTAACACTGAACAGTAACATTTAAAAAATCTTTGTCAATTAAAGATATTTCAATATTATCTCAGTTTCTATGGGTCAGAAATCTGGGTATGGCTTAGTCGAATCTCTGGTTCAAGGTTTCTTACAGACTGCAAGCAAAGTTTCAGCTTGACTGCAAAAGGATCCACTTCCAATCTCACTCCTATGATTGTTGGCAGGTCTCAACTTCTCCTGGGCTCTTGAACTGAGAGCCTCAGTTCCTTCTTGGCTATTGGCTGCTCTAAGTTCCTTGTCATGTGGACCTCTCCAACATGGCAGCTTGCTTCCTCAAAGCATGCAAGGTGAGAAGGCAATAAAGTCTACTAGCAAGAGGGAAGTCGCAATATTTTGTAACCTAATAACAGAAGTGCCATCTCCTCGTTTTTGCTGTATTCTATTCATCAGAAGCAAGTCACACTCAAGAAAAGGGAATTCCACAGGACATGAATACTACCAGGAGGCAGGATCATTGCGGGGCCATCTTAGAAATCTGCCTATCACACCTGGGCTTGAGTCCTAGCTCTGGTACTTGTGACCTTGGGCAAGCTACAGGACCTCTATTTCCCAGGAAATAATAACAGTATCTACTTCATAAGAGGGTTTTCAGGTTTAAATGAGGAAATGCATTTAAATTACCTGGTACAGGGGCTTCCCTGGTGGCGCAGTGGTTGGGAGTCCGCCTGCCGATGCAGGGGACACGGGTTCGTGCCCCGGTCTGAGAAGATCCAATGTGCTGCGGAGCAGCTAGGCCCATGAGCCATGGCCGCTGAGCCTGCGCGTCTGGAGCCTGTGCTCCGCAGCAGGAAAGGACACAACAGTGAGAGGCCCGCGTACTGCAAAAAAAAAAAAATTACCTGGTACATACTAAATGCCCAATACATGTTCATTACTGCTTAGGTTGTGGACATGAGGGGGGATTGCAGCTGGGAGGTGAAAAGACATAAGCAGAGCAAGAGTCAGTGTCTGAAGGTTGTGATGTACGCTTTGAGGCACCCCAGTTTCCCAGTTAAAAGTTCAGCAAAAGAAGGCACTAAGGTCCTCTGCTCTCTAGGCACTTGACCAGGACCAGTTATAATCATCAGCAAGGTAAGGATATCTTCAGAAGCAACTCAGAGATAAAAAGCCAGAGCCTTCTTGTCCCACTGTCTTCATTAGTTTTTCCAGTACACTACTTGAACGTTCTTCAGCATTTGAGTGGAATTCACACTTAGACTTAGCTGGCAGGTAGCTGACAGCTAAGACTCTTTGAGATCCAGGAAATGAGGAGGAAGGAGAGAGAGATCAAAGAAAGTAAGTAATAAAGGAAACTCAAAAATCTCAAGACAATAAAGCCAAAATACCCAGGGCTGGCATTGCTGCTGTCTTTTTGGAAACTCTCAGGCAGAAGGAGCAGAGTAAGAACCCTGTTGCAGGGGAACCCTCTACTGAATTTTATGACCACCTTTAAGTCATGCTCCAAGACTATTAAAAGTTTGCCCTTCTTGCAAGTTCCATATCTTTGGGAAATGTTTCCCAATGTCTTCACAGAGAAATTTAATATAAATAACTCAATTCAGGACTTCCCTGGTAGTCCAGTGGTTAAGACTCTGCACTCCCACTGCAGGGGGCATGGGGTTTGATCCCTGGTTGGGAAACTAAGATCCCACATGCCACACGGTGCAGCCAAAAATAAATAAATAATAAATAAATAAACTCATTTCAACAAATATTTATTAAATACCTTTTAAGTCAGGCATAGAGGATACAAAAGTAACAAATCATAGTTCCTATCCTTGAATAGTTTATAAGGTGATAGGAAAGATCTATGACAGATAATAAGAAGGAACTAAACTAGGGCAGTAAATACGGAACTGAGGGGGAAGGAAAGGGACAATCCCTCTAACACTTCCCTCGTGTTAAGGAGCCAAAAGTGATATAACTTGGCACATAGTGACTATGAATATAGTAGAGAATATCCTTTCTTTTGTAGCCAACAACTGGGTGAGAAGGCAAAGGAGAGAGTTTTTGTTTTCTGTTTTTTGCGGTACGCGGGCCTACAGGGCACGAACCCGTGTCCCCTGCATCAGCAGGCGGACTCCCAACAACTGCGCCACCAGGAAAGCGCAGAGGAGAGAGTTTTAAAGTCAGATTGGGGAATTCCTCGGCGGTCCAGTACTTAGGATTCTGTACTTTCACTGCCTTGGGCCCGGTTCAATCCCTGGTCGGGGAACTAAGATCCCACAAGCCGCAGGGTGCAACCGAAACATAAATAAATTAATTAATTAAAATAAAGGCAGATTGGCTAGGAAGATGACGATGCTACAGTTAATGTAGTTTTGGAAAGAAAGATGTGTTTCCTTTGGACACGTATATTAAGTTTGAGATTGCCTAGGATAACCTTCAGATATACCCATTAGACAGTGATGCATAACTGACCCTAAGAGAGCAGTCCAGGCTAGAGATAGAGATTTCAATCAATAAAGGTGTAACTATTTTAATCCCTATTTTGTTGATAAAGAAAATGAGGCAAAGCCAGAATGCAAACCCAGCTGTATCTCTCACCAGAGCTCAAGAAGTTAGCCATAATGCTATATCATCTTTCAAGTACCAGAGGAATTGAGCAGAAGCTATGGAAGGAATCAAGATAGGCTTCACAAGGGAAGTAGCATATGGAGGAGATGGATCTCAAAATATAGATAGCACTGGACATGAAATGATGGAAGAAAGGGCGTTCTATACACAGAGAATAAGTGGCACAAACAAATCAGGAAATGAAAACGTTCAACCTGTACAGGTATTTAAGAAGAAGCTGCAAAGAGCTTGAGAGTTGGCACTATAAGGTTGCCAGGAGACTACAAAATGAGAAGGGAACAAAGGTCGGCTTGCAGAGGACACCTACCAAGAGTAGGGAGACAGGAACGGAATGGTCAGAGAGGGAAAACAGGAAAATAAGTAAACCAATTGTATATACTTCCATTATAAATCTTATCGTATGGAAGAGTAATTGCACATCTGTCTTTTCTTTAGACTCAGCACACCTCAACAGCAAAGGATGTTTTCTCTATCTTTCTGTAACACATAGCACAACATTTGGCAAAGGTGCCCCCAAAAGATTTGTTGACTAGAATAAATGAATGAATGAATGAGTGAGTGAGAATGTTTTAAGGATTAATTATTGTCAAAGATAAAGCTGAGGGGGCTTCCCTGGTGGCACAGTGGTTGAGAGTCCGCCTACCGATGCAGGGGACACTGGTTCGTGCCCTGGTCTGGGAAGATCCCACATGCTGCAGAGCAGCTAAGTCCGTGTGCCACAACTACTGAGACTGAGTGCTAGAGCCCACGAGCCACAACTACTGAGCCTGTGTGCTGCAACTACTGAAGCCCGTGAGCCTAGAGCCCATGCTCCGCAACAGGAGAAGCCACTGCAGTGAGAAGCCCACGCACTGCAATGAAGAGTAGCCCCTGCTCGCCGCAACTAGAGAAAGCCCAAGCACAGCAATGAAGACCCAATGCAGCTAAAATTAAAATAAATAAATAAATAAATTTATTTTAAAAAAGATAAAGCTGGATACCAGTCAAAGTGGTAAGGACAGATTTCAATCAGTACTATACTTTTGCAATAGGGAAAATAGTCTAGAGTGAACTCAACTCAACTTCAATTTGTACAGAGATGACTGGGAGAATGATGGAACAGGGAGGAAGTTGGGGGGGTGGGCTCAGCAGAGTCAGAGAAGTGAAAAATTACAAGACCTAGGAAGGAAGGGGATTGGTCCATGCAAAACCCAGCTGGGTTTGCTAACTGGTGCTTATTGAAGTCAGGCTCCTACCCTCCCACAGAGACTGGGAGACAGGGGCCCTATCTTTAGGTGTTGGCTGGAACAAACATTATATCTTTTTGGCAGCCTTGAGTTTTCTCAGGCAGGTGCTTTAAGAGTCATCCTTAGGGATGCAACCTTGCACTATTAGAAACTATGTTAGTGTTTTTTCAGCGTTTGTAGGCTGAGGTTGAGGACAAGCCAAGAAGAGGGCTCAGAGGAGCCCAGCTAGAGTTTGGTTAACAAGAGAATCTTTGTCATTACTAAATATTGTTGAATGCTGCAGAGATTTCTTTTCAAAGGTTCTATTGAGATATAATTTACATATCATAAAATCCACCTGTTTTAAGTGTACAATCCAATGATTTTAGTAAATTTTCAGAGTTGCACAACCATTACCACAATCCAATTTTGGAATATTTCCGTTGCCCCCCCCAAAGGTCCCTTGTACCCATTTGCAGCCATTCTGTGTTCCCATCCACAACCCCAGGCAATCACTAGTCTACTCTATGTCTCTATAGAGTGGTAAACAGTTTTTGGCAGGAAAGAGCTCTCTGCAGGAGGACCTTTGTCTTGCCACTAACCTTAAACCAGGCACCCCCATGCTCTACTCAACTTCGGCCCTAGCACAGCTTTCAAATCTTTTGATCACAGAATACATTGACTAACCTATTGGTGCTTTGCATAGATCAAAGAAATAGAAATGAAAAATAAGTAATTAACAGATGACCAGATCTCTTCCCTAGCTTCCCCTTCAGTGATCGCACCAACAAAATATATGAACAAACTGTGTGACAAGATAGCATCTACAAGCCTGTGAGACAAGCCTGCACACAGTGGGGGACAGTAACGACTCTGACCCCCTATCTCAATGATTAACTGAGATTACTTCCCTTTTACCCTTTAAACATTTTCATCACTGAGCAGAATCTTCAGAGGTGGTTTTTGGGAGACACTGAATCCACCGTCTCCCCAGATTGCTGGCATTCTGATTAAAAGCAACTTTCCTTTCTACCAACATTTGCCTCTCTTGAGTATTGATTTTTTTAAAAAAATATTTATTTATTTATTTGGTTGCACCAGGTCTTAGTTGCAGCAGGCGGGCTACTTAGCTGCAGCTTGTGGGCTCCTTAGTTGTGGCACACGGGCTCCTTAGTTGTGGCACACAGGCTCATTAGTTGCGGCATGCACGTGGGATCTAGTTCCCCGAGCAAGGGTCAAACCCAGGCCCCCTGCATTGGGAGCACAGAGTCTTATCCACTGCACCACCAGGGAAGTCCCTGAGTATTGATTTTTGAGCGGCAAGCAGCCGGACCTGATTTGGTCACAATTTGCTTTTCTGTACCTTTCATATAAATGGAGCTATACAATGACACAAAGACCTATGTCTTTTGTGTCTGGCTTCATTCACTTAACATAATGTTTTTGATATTTATCCATGTTGCAACATTTATCAATACTTCATCCTTTTTACTGATGAATAACCTTCCATTGCATGGGTAGAATTTTGTTTATCTATTCATCATTTGATGGACATTTGAGTTTTTCTAGCTTGGGGTTATTAAGAATAATGTCGCCATGAATAATCACATATAGGTCTCTGTGTGGACATAAGAAACTGTCAAACTTTTTCAAAGTAGTTACACCATATTTCATTCCCACCAGCAATGTATAAGGATTCCAATTTCTCCATATCCATACCAACACTTGGTATTACCTGTGTTTTTTATTGTAGCCATTTTAGATATGTATGTATGTAATAGGATCTCATGATTTTAATTTGCATTTCCCTAAAGGCAAATAATGATGGGCACCTTTTCGTATGCTTCTTAAACATTCATGTATCTTCTTTGGTGAAATGCCTCCTATTCAAGTATTTTGCCCATTTTTAACTAGGCTATTTGTCTTCTTATTATGCTGCAGAGATTTTGAGGACTTGGGCAAAGGCCTTTGAATTTGGCAATTTGAGGTCATTGCTATGGTAGACAACTGTCATTTGGGGAGTTTCACAATATCTCTAAACACATGGTTGACACTTTTCTAGGAGCTAGAAGTTCATTTTCCCAGTTTCCCACTGGTTTCCTTCCCCCACCTCAGGCTTCAAAACAGAAGAAGCCAGCATGAGGAGGTAGGTGCCCTATGGGATACATTTTCTGGAGAAGGCAGTGTTTGGGCCTCCAACTTTCAGAGTCAGTAGCGATAGATGGTCTGGTCTAAGTAATTGATCTCTGTGACATTTGTTGCACAGTGGGGTCTTTGCTGGTGCAGTTCTGTGGTATAATTTGGGTACTTCTTGTTCTTGACTGCTTAGCCTCTAAGCCTCCCAGAGATTAAATAAACTTTCCAATAACCCCAATTTTTTTCTTCTTAAACTAGCTAGAGTGCTCATTTGCAACTAAGAATCATGACTAATATAACAGGTGACCTTTGAAAGGTTTCAAAGGCAGAGACACCCGTTTAAAATGTCTAACATTTAGGAGAAGATTCATTAACCTATAACAAATTCAAAAGAAATTGCAAATTAAAACAGCAAACCAATGACTTTCAACCTATAAAATTAGCAAAATTAGAGAAAAGTTATAAATCCCAAAGCAGCAAAACTAGAGTAGAGGGACTTCCCTGGTGGTCCAGTGGTTAAGAATCCGCCTTCCAAAGCAGGGGACGTGGGTTACATCCCTGGTTGGGGAACTATGATCCCACATACTGCAGGGCAACTAAGCCTGCACACCGCAACTACTGAGTCCGTGCACCACAACTAGAGAGAAGCCCATGTGCTGCAACTAGACAGAAGCCCACACAACTAGAGAGAAGCCCACGTGCCGCAACAAAGACCCAACGTGGCCAAATAAATAAATTAAATTAAATTAAAGGAAAACAGCTTGAAATAATTTGCTTTGTTTTTATTTTTTTAATTTTTTAAAATTTTAAAATAAATTTATTTATTTATTCATTTATTTATTTTTGGCTATGTTGGGTCTTCACTGCTGCATACAGGCTTTCTCTAGTTGCAGGGTGAGTAGAGGCTACTCTTCGCTGCAGTGTGAGGGCTTCTCATTGCGGTGGCTTCTCTTGTTGCAGAGCAGGGCTCCAGGCGTGTGGGCTTCAGTAGTTGCGGCACACGGGCTCAGCAGTTGTGGCTCGCGGGCTCTAGAGTGCAGGCTCAGTAGTTGCAGTGCACGGGCCCAGCCACTCTGCGGCATGTGGGATCCTCTCGGACCAGGGCTCGAACCTACGTCCCCCGCACCAGCAGGCAGACTCTTAACCCCTGCACCACCAGGGAAGTCCCTGCTTTGTTTTTAAATTGGCTACTGTGTTGCTCTTACTGGGGAAATAAAACAATCCTGCTAGCAAAAAGACCGATTCCTGCCAATATAGAAAAAGAACATACTTTATTATTTAGTAAGCACTAACAGATTACATGCATGTAAGTGACCCAGGAGGGAAGGGGGCAGGGCACAACCATTAAAAGAATGACACAGCCATTGAGGATACAAAAAAAATTAGTTAGAACCAACTAGGCCCAAGATGGTGGAAGATTTGACTTCCAGTAGATCTTGAGCCTCATTATACACTCATTCTAATATACTAGCATGCTAAATGACACACCCACCCGTGCCATGACAGTTCTTTTTTTTAAATAAATTTACTTATTTATTTGTTTGTTTGTTTGTTTTTGGCTGTGTTGCGTCTTCGTTGCTGTGCGCGGGCTTTCTCTAGTTGCAGCAAGTGGGGGCTACTCTTCGTTGTGGTGTGCAGGCTTCTCGTTGTGGTGGCTTCTCTTTGTTGCGGTGCACGGTCTTCAGTAGTTATGGCAGGTGGGCTCAGTAGTTGTGTCTCACTGGCTCTAGAGTGCAGGCTCAGTAGTTGTGGCGCACATGGCTTAGTTGCTCCGTGGCGTGTGGGATCTTCCCGGACCAGGGCTCGAACCTGTGTCCCCTGCATTGGCAGGCAGATTCTTAACCACAGCCCACCAGGGAAGTCTTTTTTTTTTTTTTTTATAGGCATGACAGTTCTGAGGCTGACCATAAAAGGCCATAAAGTAGGCAGTGGCCCAATTCCTGGAAATCCCCACCTCTTTCCCCAAATAATTGGAATAATCCTCCCGCTCATTAGCTTATGAAATTACCCAGCCCATAAAAACTAACCACGCCCACAGCCCTGGGCCTCCCTCACCTTCTGAGAGGGAACACATTCTGCCTATGGAACGTGTATCTCCAAATAAACCCACTTTCACTTTACTATGGCTCACTCTTTTTTTTTTTGGTTGCTCCAAGTGCGGCACATGGGATCTTAGTTCCCTGACCAGGGATCGAACCCGTGCCCCTTGCACTGGAAGCGTGGAGTCCTAACCACTGGACCACGAGGGAATTCCCATGGCTCACTTTTTTTTTTTTAACATCTTTATTAGAGTATAATTGCTTTACAATGCTGTGTCAGTTTCTGCTTTATAACAAAGTGAATCAGTTATACATATACATATGTCCCCATATTTCTTCCCTCTTGCATCTCCCTCCCTCCCACCCTCCCTATCCCACCCCTCTAGGTGGTCACAAAGCACCGAGCTGATCTCCCTCTGCTATGCGGGTGCTTCCCACTAGCTATCTATTTTACATTTAGTAGTGTATATATGTCCATGCCACTCTCTCGCTTTGTCCCAGCTTACCTTTCCCCCTCCCCGTATCCTCAAGGCCATTCTATAGTAGGTCTGCATCTTTATTCCCGTCTTGCCCCTAGGTTCTTCTGACGATTTTTTTCTTTTTTTTTTTATATTCCATATATATGTGTTAGCATACGGTATTTGTTTTTCTCTTTATGACTTACTTCACTCTGTATGACAGTCTCTAGGTCCATCCACCTCACTACAAATAACGCAGTTTCGTGCCTTTTTATGGCTGAGTAATATTCCATTGTATATATGTGCCACACCTTCTTTATCCATTCATCTGCTGATGGACACTTAGGTTGCTTCCATGTCCTGGCTATTGTAAATAGAGCTGCAATGAACATTTTGGTACATGACTCTTTTTGAATTATGGTTTTCTCAGGGTATATGCCCAGTAGTGGGATTGCTGGGTCGTATGGTAGTTCTATTTTTAGTTTTTTAAGGAACCTCCATACTGTTCTCCATAGCAGCTGTATCAATTTACATTCCCACCAACAGTGCAAGAGGGTTCCCTTTTCTCCACACTCTCTCCAGCATTTATTGTTTGTAGATCTTTTGATGATGGCCATTCTGACCGGTGTGAGATGATACCATGGCTCACTCTTGAATTCTTTCCTGAGCAAAGCCAAGGACCCTCACTTGGTGGCCCTCACCTGAGAACTCACCTGAGACCTGGGACATGACCATTCTCTTGTTCTCCATTTTTCTGCAACATAAGGCAGCCTGAAAAATTAGAATAAAATCTCACATAATTTATACAGCAAAGCAGTAGAAAGAACAATATCTCCTCAAGCGACAAAAGGCTGCACCTCTTAATAATCTCCTATACATCTCCAAAGAGACCCTTGTTTAAATATCTAGAGATCATAGGTCCACAACCTAGGAGATATCTCTATATTGTAAAAACTGGAGACCAGACTTAATCCCTAGAGAGATTTATCTTTATTCTCAAGGTTAGAGTAAGGACTCAGATTTACCATGTCTGCAAGAAAACAATCTGAGAAAGAGGAAGAGGGTAAATCGTCCCTTTGCCTTTTATAAATGGAGAAAATAATTTTTGTTTATCCTTAAGCTTCCAATGTCCTCAACTCTCCAAGCAAATGTTCTCACCAAAAGGTGAAGAGATAAAATTTTATTATCTTTGGACATATTTCTTCAGCTACTACAATCAAACATTTCTTTGCAGTGGGAATACCAGGGAACACTAAAGGAATCTTTAATTGTCCAAACCATTTTGGATCCTAAACTGATGTTTCCTGCAGTTTGAAGGCAAACTCCAAAAGAGTGTGCTTGCAGCCTGGGCCCTGCAGACTAGTGGCCTCTACTACCAAATCAGGGGAAAGGGGCAGCAGGGCAGATGTCAGCTGTTCTCAGATCTTTTACAATCTCTCCTGAGGCAAAACTGGGGTCTCCTTAGACACACACATTTACAGTTCTCCTAATTCATTTGAGAAACAATTCTTTAACAGAAAGATAAAAAGCAAATCAGCATTATCTCAAAACAGAGGTCTTTCAACAATTTGTAAGTATTAAATTTTCTTTTTTTTGTTATTACAATATATGGCCTATCTTCTGGGAAAAGAGGCACACAGATCTTAAGAGTAACTTGTTTTAATACAGTGAATAATGCTCCACAGAGCTACTAATTTATTTTCCTTACCAAAAAAGAACATATCTCTTCAGGATTAGGGTCAGAGAGACTAAGGTTTTCTTTAAGGGTTTTGTCTTCTATAACAATGAGCCTTTTGATATGCAAATATAAACTCCCAAAAGAGATGGGTATGGAAAATTTGTTTGGCTTAATAAAGCATTGTGAATAGAGAGATGTGGGTGGGAATATGAGAGAGGGTCAAAAAAATATCCTGAGATGGATGAAGGACTTTTAAGAATATTTAAGGAAATGGGATGTTCAAATATTCAATTTTAATTGTTTGGGTAGATATCTTTCTACCCCTTACATCACCCCCCAAAGCTTCAGTCAAGCCTGCCATTCACAAATGCCTCCCATGAGAGGTTTTGGGGGAAAAAAGAATTCCATGTCTAGGTTAGAAAAAACAAAAGAAAGATCAGCTGTGGGAGGTGAAACACCAGTGAACTACAGATTCAGCAAGGGCCAGGGACTCTAGGCCAAGAATGGTGATGAGAAATCAAGGTCCTCCCCAGTCCTGGAGTTCACAGAAGGATCCAGGATGGCACTGACTTCCCACTCAATATGGGGTAAAGGGCTAGATGCAATTTTATTTAATCTCAAAGGAAACGGTGACCCCCAACTACCATCTCAGTTTCACCTAAAATAGGGAAAGTTTGTTTAATCACCAAGATTATATCTATAAAAGCAGGAAGGCTATTTGAGTAGGCCCTGTGCATAGACAACATTTACACAATCTCTCCTTCTCTAAAGGAACAAGCTGCAAATGGACTATACAAAACATGTCTTTTTTTTTTTTTTTTTTTTAGTTTTTTTTAGTTTTTTTCCTGCATGCGCAGCTTGTGAGATCTTAGTTCCCCGACCAGGGATCGAATCCAGGCCCCCTGCAGAGGAAGCACAGAGTCCTAACCACTGGACCGCCAGGGAATTCCCTAAAACATCTGTCTTTTCAGCCAAAGGCTCCCAGGAATTTGATAAAACTAGGGCCTAGAAATGTGGACAAAAGGAGAGGGAATGACTGTCAGGGGCTGAGGGCTAATCCACAGCGCAGAATGCTTCCAAGGACAGAGGGTATGGTAGGAGAAATCCTAAAAGAAAGTCCAAATTCAATTCCCATCTTTATGAACCTAGACAGATGGGCAAACTCAGGTGTCTGGGGACAGTCATCCCCAGCTGGCAAAAAGAGAACAGGTACCAATTCTGAGAGCCAAAACACACAAAGATTTAGTAATGGTGGGGAGAGGGGGAGTAAGTGGCAGGAGGTAGGTTGGGAGGGGTAGGTGGTAGGGAAAAGGAACTCAGGACTGACAAAGCCCTGCCCAGTGGTCAAGGCACCATGAGGAGCTCTCTGGCACAAACCAAGACCCGCTCCCACCCTAACACACGTATTTGCAAGATCTAGGGCCCCCTTCCTCCTTAATCTGTTGCTCAGGCTCATTTTATTGCTCAGACTATACAATATAGATGTGAAGTAGAGCCCCAAGTCTCTATGTACAGCCTTTGTTTTTCTTCCTCCACAAACTCTATACCTTGTCCACATATATCTGCTATCTATGTATGTCAATAGGTTCCAAATCTGTATCTTTAGTTCTGACTGCTCTCCTCAGCTTCAGACCTAAATGTCTAATAACCTGCTAGATTTCTCTACCTGAATATCACTCTGGTACCTCAAACTCAGCATGTGAAAACTTAAAACCATTGGGATGTCTTAAAATATATATATTCTACTTCTTGACCCAGAAACTCTACTTGGCAAAGTAAAATCTCCTTGAATGTTTTGTTTTAAAAGATCAGTGTGCTTAGAGTCACCAAATTATTATTTTTCCTTTGGGCCTAAAGTGAAAAGATTCTTATAAAGTTCTACAACTCTTTTACTAAGTAAGGGAATGTTAACATTATTTGGAACAGTAAAGAACTTAACTGTTTTGTCTGTAGATTTAATGCAAGCCTAATGAAAATCCTAGAAGATAGGGGTGTGTGTGTGTGTGTGTGTGTGTATGAAAACTGGCCAGCTGATACTAAAATTTATATGGAAATGGAATGGGCCAAGAATAGTCAATATAATCTTACAATCTTAAAGCTGGAGGGTATGCACCACCAGATACCAAGACAGTAATTAAGACAGTGAGATAATGGTGCAAGGATGGACAAATAAACCCACAGAACAGAGGGTCCAGAAACAGACTACATATTATGAACACTTGTTTTATGAAAAACAGACACTACAGAGGAAAGGGGGAAAGGATTGTTTTGTTAATAAAAATCATCCAAAACTTGGAAATGCTGCAAAGAAAAGATAGCAAGGGCAGCCAAAGATTAATTAATCCAGGCAACAAACTTTTGCTTTACTCATTAACTATTATTGGTTAAAGTCTAACCCTGTGAAGTCATATGGTAACCTATAGATTTTTGTCTGGTAATGAAGCAAAGGATTTCTGATTAGTAGAAAAGGTTATGGTGCTATTGTACTATAGACATTAACTACTTTTATATCTAACCTAAAATCTTATTCTAGCATTCCTTTTTCAAATGCCTATAAATATCCATTATGGTTAATTTTATGTGTCAACTTAAATGGGCCACAGGGTATCCAAATATTTGGTCAAACATTATTCTGGATGTATCTGTAAGGATGTTTCTGGATGAAATTAACATTTGAATATGTAGACTGAGTAAAGCAGATTGCTCTTCTTAATGTGGGTAGTCCTCATCTAATCAGTTGAAGACCTCAATAAACAAAAGGACTTGGGGCTTCCCTGGTGGCGCAGTGGTTGAGAGTCCGCCTGCCGATGCAGAGGACACAGGTTCGTGCCCCGGTCCGGGAGGATCCCGCATGCCGCGGAGCGGCTGGGCCCGTGAGCCGTGGCCGCTGAGCCTGTGCGTCTGGAGCCTGTGCTCCGCAACGGGAGAGGCCACGACAGTGAGAGGCCCGCGTACCGCAAAAAAAAAAGATCAGTCTGATATTAGACTGGCAGAAAAATCAGGAAACATTTAAAAAAAAAAAAAAAAGAAAGAAACAAGAAACATCTCAAATAAACAATGTAACCTTACACCTAAAGGAACTAGAGAAAGAAGAATAAACAAAACCCAAAGTTAGTAGAAGGAAAGAAATCATAAATATCAGAGCAGAAATAAATGAAATAGAAACAAAGAAAACAATAGCAAAGATCAATAAAACTAAAAGCTGGTTCTTTGAGAAGATAAACAAAATTGATGAACCTTTAGCCAGACTCATCAGGAAAAAGAGGGAGAGGATTCAAATCAATAAAACTAGAAATGAAGAAGGAGAAGTTACAACAGACACCGCACAAATACAAAGCATCCTAAGAGACTACTACAAGCAACTGTATGGCAATAAAATGGAAAACCTGGAAGAAATGGACAAATTCTTCGAAAGGTATAACCTTCCAAGATTGAACCAGGAAGAAATAGAAAATATGAACAGACAAATCACAATTAATGAAATTGAAACTGTGATTAAAAATCTTCCAACAAACAAAAGCCCAGGACCAGACGGCTTCACAGGTGAATCTATCAAACATTTAGAGAAGAGCTAACACCCATACTTCTCAAACTCTTCCAAAAAATTGCAGAGGAAGGAACACTCCCAAACTCATTCTATGAGGCCACCATCACCCTGATAGCAAAACCAGACAAAGATACTACAAAAAAAGAAAATTACAGACCAATATCACTGATGAATATAGATGCAAAAATCCTCAACAAAATACTAGCAAACAGAATCCAACAGCACATTAAAAGGATCATACACCATGATCAAGTGGGATTTATCCAAGGGATGCAAGGATTCTTCAATATACGCAAATCAATCAATGTGATACACCACATTAACAAACTGAACAATAAAAACCATATGATCATCTCAATAGATGCAGAAAAAGCTTTGACAAAATTCAACACCCATTTATGATAAAAACTCTCCAGAAAGTGGGCATAGAGGGAACCTACCTCAACATAATAAAGGACATATATGACAAACCCACAGCAAACATCATTCTCAATGGTGAAAAACTGAAAGCATTTCCTCTAAGATCAGGAACAAGACAAGGATGTCCACTCTCGCCACTATTATTCAACGTCGTTTTGGAAGTCCTAGCCACAGCAATCAGAGAAGAAAAAGAAATAAAAGGAATACAAATTGGAAAAGAACAAGTAAAACTGTCACTGTTTGCAGATGACATGATACTATACATAGAGAATCCTAAAGATGCCACCAGAAAACTACTAGAGCTAATCAATGAATTTCGTAAAGTTGCAGGATACAAAATTAATGAACAGAAATCTCTCGCATTCCTATACATTAATGATGAAAAATCTGAAAGAGAAATTAAGGAAACACTCCCATTTGCCATTGCAACAAAAACAATAAAATACCTAGGAATAAACCTACCTAGGGAGACAAAAGACCTGTATGCAGAAAACTATAAGACACTGATGAAAGAAATTAAAGATGATACCAACAGATGGAGAGATATATCATATTCCTGGATTGGAAGAATCAATACTGTGAAAATGACTATACTACCCAAAGCAATCTACAGATTCAATGCAATCCCTATCAAATTACCAATGGCATTTTTCACAGAACTAGAACAAAAAATCTTCAAATTTGTATGGAGACACAAAAGACCCAGAATAGAAAAAGCAGTCTTGAGGGAAAAAAATGGAGCTGGAGGAATCAGACTCCTTGACTTCAGACTATACTACAAAGCTACAATAATCAAGACAATATGGTACTGGCACAAAAACAGAAATATAGATCAATGGAACAGGATAGAAAGCCCAGAGATAAAACCACACACCTATGGTCAACTAATCTATGACAAAGGAGGCAAGGATATACAATGGAGAAAAGACAGCCTCTTCAATAAGTGGTGCTGGGAAAACTGGACAGCTACATGTAAAAGAATGAAATTAGAACACTCTCTAACACCATACACAAAAATAAACTCAAAATGGATTAGAGACCTAAATGTAAGACTGGATGCTATAAAACTCTTAGAGGAAAACATAGGAAGATCACTCTTTGACATAAATCACAGCAAGATCTTTTTTGATCCACCTCCTAGGGTAATGGAAATAAAAACAAAAATAAGCAAATGGGAACTAATGAAACTTAAGAGCTTTTGCCAAGCAAAGGAAACTACAAGCAAGACAAAAAGACAACCCTCAGAGTGGAAGAAAATATTTGCAAATGAATCAACAGGCAAAAGATTAACCTTCAACATATATAAACAGCTCATGCAGCTCAATATTAAAAAAACAAACAACCCAATCCAAAAATGGGCAAAAGACCTAAATTGACATTTCTCCAAAGAAGACATACAGATGGCCAAGAAGCACATGTAAAGCTGCTCAACATCACTAATTTTTACAGAAATGCAAATCAAAATGACAATGATATATCACCTCACACCAGTTAGAATGGGCATCATCAGAAAATCTACAAACAACAAATGCTGGAGAGGGTGTGGAAAAAAGGGAACCCTCTTGCACTGTTGGTGGGAATGTAAATTGATACAGCCACTATGGAGAACAGTATGGAGGTTCCTTAAAAAACTAAAAACAGAACTACCATATGACCCAGCAATCCCACTACTGGTCATATACCCAGAGAAAACCATAATTCAAAAAGACACATGCATCCCAATATTCATTGCAGCACTATTTACAATAGCCAGGTCATGGAAGCAACCTAAATGCCCATCAAGAGACGAATGGCTAAAGAAGATGTGGTACATATATACAATGGAATATTACTCTTCCATAAAAAGGAACAAAATTGGGTCATTTGTAGAGACGTGGACGGATGTAGAGACTGTCATCTAGAGTGAAGTAAGTCAGAAAGAGAAAAACAAATATCGTATATTAACGCATATATGTGGAACCTAGAAAAATGGTACAGATGAACCGGTTTGCAGGGCAGAAATAGAGACACAGATGTAGAGAACAAACGTATGGACATCAGGGGGAAAAGTGGCTGGGTGGGGGTGTGTGATGAGTTGGGAGTTTGGGATTGACATATATACACTAATATGTATAAAATGGATAAATAATAGGAACCTGCTGTATAAAAAATAAATTAAATTAAATTTTTAAAAAAATTGACAACCTCAAGAGTTGGCAAGGATGTAGAGAAACTAGACCTTGTTGTGGGAATGTGAACTGTTAGAATCTCTTTGGAAAAAAATGTTGGTGATGCCTACTAAAGCTGAACATAAACATGCCCTATGACTGAGCAGTTCTACTCCGAGGTATATACCCAATAGAAATTCATGTACATCAGTCAATAAATTTATTCTTAAAATTGCAGAGGAAAAATAAACACCAATTCAAGATACTGGTTACTTCTGGGAAGAGAAGATGAAGAACAAGGGAGAAACAGGAATGAGATTAGGAAGAAGTATATATAAGCTCAACTTTATCTGAAATATTAATTTCCTTAAAAGAGAATTTGAAGCAAATGTGGTGGTAAAATACTAAGATCTGATAAAGCTGTGTGAAAAGAATGTGGGTTTGTTACAGTATTCTTTACAACTTTCTGAATGCCTAAAATATTTCATAAAGAAATTTTTTAAATCTTGTAGAAGAATAAAGATTCAGAGAATGTTTAGGAGCCACTAGTTTAAAAAAAAAAAAGACTGTAATAGGAAAATGCAGTATAAGGCCAATGTTGTATATGTAAACATACCATAGATACATATTCACATACAGATACTAAGTGATGAAACTGACACTTTATCTCTGGGATCTTCCTCCCAGAAACCCATAAGCCCAGTCTAATCATGAGAAAATCATCAGACAAATTCCAACTGAAAGACACTCTACAAAACACCTGATCAGTACTCTATAAAACTGTCAAGGTCGGGCTTCCCTGGTGGCGCAGTGGTTGAGAGTCCGCCTGCCGATGCAGGGGACACGGGTTCGTGCCCCGGTCCGAGAAGATCCCACATGCCGCGGAGCTGCTAGGCCCGTGAGCCATGGCCGCTGAGCCTGCGCGTCCGGAGCCTGTACTCCGCAACGGGAGAGGCCACAACAGTGAGAGGCCCGCGTACCGCAAAAAAACAAACAAACAAACAAAAAACAAACTGTCAAGGTCATCAAAAACAAGGAAGTCTAAGAAACTGTCACAGTCAAGAGGAGTTTAAGGAGACATGACAACTAAATGTAATGTGCTATCCTGGATGGGATCCTGGAATAGAAAAAGGACTTGAGGTAAAAACTAAGGAAATCTGAATAAAGTATGGACTTTAGTTAATAATAATGTATCAATATTATTGATTAATTGTAGCACACAAACCATACTAATGTAAGATGTTAATAAGAGGGCAAATTGGGTGTGGGGTATATGGAAACTTTCTGTACTATCTTCACAAATTTTTTGTACATCTAAAATTAAAAGTTTATTTTTAAAAAGTCAAGTAATTTACCCAAATTCATACAGCTAGTAAATACTCCTTACCCAAAGTTCAGAGACCAAACCAAATGACTTCAAACTTTGAGCTTTTTCCACTACACAAAACCCTTCCAACTTTACTCTCTTGGATTATAGAGGTATTTGTATGACAATCGGAACAAGTTCCATAAGGGAAGAAAAAATTTTTTTTCTTTTTCTCTTTTTTCATTTTGCCTAGCACACCACTGGTGTTCAGTAAAGCCGCTTAAGTTAACTACTCACAGAAAGAAAGTCACAGAGATCTAAAGAATCTGAGACTTTGAGAGAACTTTAACATGTCCAGTCCATCACACAGCCATAAATACCGCTGGCTCCAGAGAGAAGCCCGCCAGGCCCCGAGCTCAGAGCCACGGAGTTCTGCAAGGGTCCTGTGCTGCCATCTACCGGTAGCTCGTAAAGCGTCGACTTCCCCTGCTGTATCTCGGGAACCCGTGGGGCTGGGGGTAGTTGGAGAGAAGATTCAAGCGCTAATTAAAATACAGAATATACGTAACTGTCACATAGTTCAATCGACACTTGTACAAAGCAAAGACTCTTCTTTTCTCCGGCGATTGCAGGCTCCCATAACTCCGTATTAATACTTAGGCTCATAAATTCACAGACTTCTTGCTGACCTACCTCCACAGGTACAGATCTGACTCGTACTGCCAGTCTCTCAAAATTCAGAATCTCCCGCAAAGCGTAGGCTGCGGAAACTGCTCATCCTCACAGTCTTGAGACCCCGCCAATCAGATTCCCGCATTTTCACAGAATCCTGAGACTCATGGCACTACTTTGCAAACCCCACAGACCTCCCCCATTAGGGCAAATAAGCGCGCTAACGCAGACGGCTTCACTAAGAGGTTCAAGTTTCGCAGGCAGCTCACACCAGCTCGAAAGCCTAGGAGGGCCCTACTCAGGCTTGGCACCCGCAGGCTGACGCTTTGGCGCTGGTTCTGGCTCCCCACCTCTGGCCGGATCCGGTCAGCCTAGGCCGCCGACTGCGGGCCGAGGTCCCGCCCCTCTAGACCTGTCATCACAGCAGCCGCACGTGGCCGGGGTGGGACCTCAGGCGACCTGCAACCATCACTTTGTCTCCTCCGCCATCCATTGGGGCCGCCGCAGCCAATCAGAGCCAGCGGTTCCGGGCTGGAGAGCCAGCTCCAGCGTGAGGCAAGCGGGAGAAGGGGAGAGGGGGAGGAGAGGCTCCGAGATGGGAGGGGGCTAGCAGGGGAAGGGAGCCTGGCACGGGTTCTGCCAGCCTGGAATCCGAGGGGGCGGGTCCTAGTGAAAGGCGGAGAGACCAAAAGGGGGCGGGGATCAGGGGTGGGACGAGGGACAAGCAGAAATTCAATGGGGAGACGCCGAGAGGAGAAGGGGCGGAGCCAGGGAGGGGCGGGACCTGGATTACAGGGGAGGAGCCCCAGGATTAAAGAAACTGGGAGAGGGGAGGAGCCAGGGGAAGGTGGGAGGTGGGACAAGGGGGAGGGTGGGTCCCGTCGTTGCGGGGGCGGGGCTCGGACCAAAGGGGTGAGGTTTGCAGGCCGAGGCTGCAGCTAGGGCTGCTGTGTAACTGCCCCAATCCATTACCTCCCCAGGTGCAACGGGACTCGCGGAACTACAGGTGTGTGGCGGGGTGTATGTGGAAGAACGGACAAGGACGGGGGTGCGCTTGGGCAGACATGAGGAGGTGGGGATCACGTTAGAGAAGGAGAGGATCTAGAGAAATGCTGGCTGGGGGTGGAGTGAAACAGTTGGGGGAGGAGTTGGGGGCTCAGTGTAGGGGCTAGGAGGTGCATTCTCCAGTAGCCCTTGCGGGGGCGGGGCGGGAGTGCTTTGTGAGGTGGGAAGTACAATGTGAGGGGGTCAGGTCGCTATCAGAAGTGGAGGGTTCAGACGACACTTGAGGGGGAGGGGATCTGAAGCGCTTTAAGGGAAAGGGGAGGTGTCGTGTGATGGAGACGGGCTGGTGGTCCGGAGTGTGGGAGGGGCTGTGTGGAGGAAGAAGGGATAGGGCTGTGGGCACTGTGTGAGGGGAAGGGGTTGCAGGTCCCATCTGGGGAGGGAAGAACCCCTAGTGCTTTGAGAAAGTCTGGGGGCATTGTAGAGACTCCGGGAAGATGTTTGTGTACTGTGTTTCAGGAATGAGGGTGTTGGAATTAGGGGGGTGAAGAAGCCAGTCTGTGGTGTTCCCGGCTCGTCAGCTCCTAACTCCACCTTCAGGCCTGAGCACTCTCAGAGAGGATCCAGGCCCTACTTGCCACTAGGGCTTGTGTGACTCTCTCAGTCGGCTTTGGATCTGTCTGGCTGAGACAGGTTTTTTCCCCTTAGCTGGTGTCCCTGGGGACCCTTCCCCTGCTTCGGTTCCTGTTATCCCCCCACTCTAGTTCCTGTTCCTCCTAGAAGCTTGCCTTGGTCCCTGTCTTCCCCCTCCTCCCCCACTTTGCCCTGCCCTTATGCTCTGGGTGTGCTCATTTCCCACTTCCTTCCTCACCCTGGGGCCTGGCCTGGTCCTTGCCTGTCTAGGAGCTGTGCCCTGCCCCAGACTTCGTACTCCGTGGCCAGAGACCTAAGTAACCAGCAGCAAGGCCCAGACCTCGCCCTCACTACTGCAGAGGTCTCTCCCAACAGCCCCCCAAGTGAATGGTAGACACCTTTTTACCACTTGCCACAAACTGATTTCCCCACACTCTTCCTTCTCCTGGGTAGGGAACCCTAGGCCCCTCGAAAATTCTGGGCTTCTGTGGGAAGGGGAAATGGTGAGAAGTGCTGAAGTTCTATGAGGCATGTTTTGAGAGGTGGGCCACTATTGTCGGCTGAACTTGGGAAGGGATGTGAGGTTCCAGTCTCTGCTGGGGGAGGGAGGGGGAATGGCTCCCCACCCTCCTGGCTTGGAAGCTATCAGAACTGAGACTAGGGCCTAGTCCTTGTGGCGGCTCCTCTGGTTCCCTGAGGGGACTTGATGTAGTGCCAGAGCTCTTTTTGCCCCTGGGCAGGCTGGGAGAGGGTGAGAAAGCCCTGTTTTCCACACAGTGGCTGAATGAGTATGACAGTGTTGCTGAAAGGGGCCCCAAGCCAGTCTCCTCTGGCTGAGAGACGGGCTGGGGAGGGAGGGGGTGCTGAAGCCAGACAAAGCCGTGGGGTAGGGTGGGGTAAAGGAGGGCAGGCTGAAACCTTTGAGGAGGAGCTGATTGCTATGGCAACACAGCTTCCCAGACTGTCTCTCTGAGAGGCAGGCTTAGGGCGGACTCACTCCAGCTTCCTCAAGACTGAGGCATTTGTGTGAGTGGGTGGAGCGTGAAGAGAAAGGGCATCAGTTTGCTGTGCAGAGACTGGAGTATATAGACTTTCTGCTTCGGTACAGGCAGCAGTGCATTCAGATGCTTGGATCCATCCTCTGAAAATGGATATGAGTGAACAGCAGCCATTAGAATTATAGCAGTATAAGGTCCGAATTGTAGAGGCCCTCAATGTCTATACAAACGCTCATTTTTACAGATTTGGAAATTAAAAAAAAGACTGAGATTTTCTCCAGGTCTCACGGTGAAAGAGCAGGTGTTAGGATCCAGGTCTCCTGATTGCTCTTTACTCAGCCCAGGGCTCATTGTTTCTTTCAGCCAGTGTTTATTGAGCACCTATTATGTGCCAGGCACTGATGCTGATTCTGGGAATACCAGCATGAACAAAATGGACAAAGTTGCTGTTCTCATGGAGCTTCCATTCTAATAGGGGGAGAAATAAATGTGTGTGTGGCTGGGAAGGGAGAGAAAGGGGGGAGAGGAAGGGGGAAGGGGAAAGAGGGAGAAGTGTCAGCTGGTGATAACTGTTATGAAAAAAATAAAGCAGGGTAAGAATTTAAGGCAGCTAGGTAAAGCCTCTTGATTGTACCATGCTGCTTGCTTTCCCAGTACACACTGAGGCCTAGAACATCTTTGATCCTTCCCCCTGAACTTCTGCCCCCTGACTTTTGCAAATAACTAAGGCCTGGGCCTATGGTAGTGGCAGTTAGATAGAACAAGGTGGGGTCACCAAGGAATTACTCCTTTCCTACAGTGTTCTTTGTCTACCTGTCTTCCCAGTAAGCTTTTGCTAAGGCAAGTGGGCTTTTACGTTGGTACTCTGCAATTTTGTTCAGGGTGTTGAAAATTTCCTAAATCCCGTTCCTTAGCATTAGGGAACCAGCAAGGAAGTCAGTCCACGGCAACTGGGTTCTTTTTCAGCGTTTTTCCCCTGGTCTGAGGTAAGGAGAAAGGAGGCTAGAGGAACTGTTACTTGGTTGTCCTTCCTAAGTCTAGGGCACAGGGAGGAAGTAGGGGAGGAGAGCCTCATTTTACTGTCCAGTGACAACCTCAGGGCCCTTAGGGCCCACCACTACAAGCAAGGTAGAAACAAGGACCTTGGGGCTTCTGTGGCTTCTGAACTATAAAAGAATGCACTCCCGCTCTTCTGGAGGCACAGCCAGGGAGCCTGCCCTGGCTGATGCTAATTCTCTAGGGTCTCAGTTTGAGTCTTTCCTCTTTTGGCTCTGGTCTTTGCCTCTTGTTTTGTGGAAGACCTGAGTCTTAGAAACCTCTTAAGCCTCAAACTGTCTGAGGGAAAGGTAGGCAGGACTGTTTATTTTCTTAGCTTGCCCGTAGATCAGCCCCTCTAAAAAGTGTCTTTTAATGTCTAATCCTTGCAAAGGTTTCCATCCTGGTCATTTAAAGGATAAGAGAATAAGAATTAGGAATGCTGGTTCTGCTGCCACTTAATTTGGTTGGGTCTGGGCTGGGCTTGGGGCCCAGTGACTCAGGGGGAGGGTGGGGAGTTTCGAGGGAGCTGTGAGTCATGGGGGTGAGCTCTGTCAGAAGAGTTGGGCATATTTCCCCCTACTCTGGGCAGGAGCCTTCCTATCCCACTTCTTCCCCTGGGTGCTCTGCCTCCTTGAACAGGGGCTGATGAATAGAAAGAGTGCAGAAGGGCTGAAGCAGCCTGATCTCAGAATGGAAGTTTAGAGGCACAAAGGATGATGTCTAGTTCCTGAATTAAAAGGTATCCCTATCTCGGGAGCCCTTGGGGCCCCTCTAATGAAGGCAAAAGAACATCAATATAGAGTAAGAGAGGAACAATACTATTTCTCAGTGGAAAGAGATGAGATCCCACTTCAAGACCTTTTCATCTGCCCTGGCACGAAGGAAGCTTCCTGGGATTCAACAGCCCTCTGGTCTCTGCACCTCTGGTTTGCAAGGCACGGAGAGATGAACGGGAGTGGGGATATTTGGGATCTGGTGTTGAAAGAGCAAGCTGACTTTGGGGATTGTCGAACTTTGTCTGTGAACGCCCTAGGTCGTCCTACTGACCCGCCTCTGAAGAGGAAGGGAGGGGTGAAAAGTGGGAGGCCTACGTCTTTCAAAGTGTTAAAAGGCAAGGCTGAGAGCTGCTTTGGACTCCTGCAGCTGAGGGGTTAAGGAGATGGGCGGGGCGACCCTATGTAGGCCGGCCCCCCCTTGTGGACCAATGGGCTCGCGCCTCTTGGAGGGGGCGTGCCTCACGCTTGAGGTCGTGGGGAGGCTGGCCTCCTTTAGGCCAATTAGCATGGTCGCTGCCCATGGGGGGCGGAGTTTGAGGGGGGCGTGGCGGCCGCGGCTGCAGCGGTGGGGGAGTGGGGGCGCTGGGCGGGGCGGGCTGCCCCATCAGCTGGTAGGAAATGGCCTGTGAGTCAGAGGGGCAGCGGAGTCGGCAGTGCGGAGCCCGGGCGCCCGCGGGGAGGGACAGTCGCGGGGAGGGGCGAGGCAGCGGCTTGGGGGCTGCGGGCGCCAGGGCCCGCTAGTGTTGCACACGAAGCTGAACAGAGAAGATCCTAGCAGAGCAGGGCTCAGGCTGAGCCACCCTTTGTCTGGGTTGGGGGCCCGTGGTGGGGAGGATCGGGCATTCGAGGGGAGGGACCGGGACGGGACGGAAGGGCCTGGAGCAGCGGCGCCGCGGCGGAGCCAGTCTGGGAACGGGGTGAGTTTGTGCTAGGGGGAAATAGCAAATCTCCGCAGCTCCAGTAGGGAATGGGGCCTGTCCCAGGCTGTGGGGAGGAGGGGGGAGAGAAAGGACCTGGGAGGCTAAGCAGGGGGTGGGGGGGATCGGTCAGAACAAGGAGTCCTGGAGCCGGGGTGCTGGGGTGAGTCTACTGGGCTCATTTTGGAGGAGG